GTGGCGCGTGATGGTGGGGAGGAGGGTGTTTAGGGAACGGCGGTGTAGGGACGGGAGGAGCGGAGGTGGGAGACGGCTGAGTTGGCGGTGGAAATTGTTGGAAATTTGGTTGAACCGGACTAATCAAGTTAAACCGGTTTGGAGTGGGTGAAGCCATGCTGACTGGTGAAGGAGCCGGAGCATCGCTATAAAGTGGTGGGAGGAGGAAGAAGTAGCGGTGGTGGTGTTTGTGGTGGTGCAGCCACCACCACCACCAGAAGAAGCAGGGAGCGTATCCTGCTGTTGGTGGTGATCCGTTTCCACCGTTGATTGTTGCTGTTGCAACGAATGCGGTGGAGGGGCAGGGGTGTCGATCGAGAGTGGAGATAGCGGCGGAAGCGAGGGCATGAGTCTGGCCGAGGTGGGATAATAGTAGAAAGAAAATGAGGAGTAGGATCATCATTATTAGGAGGGGGGCTTTGGGGCTCTAATGGCTAAAATTGAGCATAATTAGCTTACTAATCTTCTTGTATTTTTGGCTTTGGTGAGGTTTGAAGTGAAGTGAAGATTTTGTGAATGGGGTTTATATGGAGGGAGTAACGGCGGTTACAAAATTATGAAGGTTGGGAAGAAGTTAAAAATCATTTACTATACCGAGGAGGCCAATCCATGTTTTTGCATGGACTTTTTTTTTTCTTTTTTGACAAAATAACATATTATTTGTGGGGTACTCAATTGGTTATGAATTGGTTTGACGAGGAAAATTTCAATTAACGATTTGGATGAATGCTCACCGAACACGACAAAGAGGGGTAATATGTTTGGTATTTTAAGTATATGTACAAAGTCATTCGAATATGTGTTATAATTATGCTTCATATATTCTCACTAACTTCAACATTTTAGCGATCCATATCTCCGAACGTGCCGCCTTACACCGCCGATGCGTATTATATACTTAATTCGTTGCGAAATTCCCAGGCGAGGAGATTTGACGTTGCCTAACGCCGAAGCACCCCCTAAGCGTAAGGTTAAACATGTCTTTCTGAACTATGAGCGGTAAGGTTTCACAAAAGGTGAAAGATATAAAAGAGTAACTGGTTGCTAGACTATAATTTTCAAATAGAATATAGTAGTACGTAACTCATTATAACTTTTTAATTTGTCCCACTTTGCTTAAGTAACGGTTTTTGTTGTCTGTCAATAAAGAATCTGAAATTGGATTTTGCAACCTTTTTATGGGTCATGCAGTGCATGAACAGCTGCTGCGAAACCGAATGCAACGTGTTGGACGAAAATCCAAGATGAAGCCATGCACTGTACAAGTCTTCTCCATCCTTTGGACTCTACCAGCTATGGAGATTAACCATTGGGGAGAAGAATGGTTTTGTGCAGGTGCGTGATTTTATTGCTCAATTAATATACAGATTTTTAAGTCAAACTTGAAACTGACGAAGGGTTTGTTTTTCTGTATTACCCTTTGACTCCCACCATCTTCAGCCGATGATGATGATAATAATAATAATAATAATAATAATAATAATAATAATAATAATAATAATAATAATAATAATAATAATAATAATAATAATAATAATAATAATAATAATAATGAATTTCTTGTTAGTGACGTCCTTCTAAGAAGATGAAAAGATCATTGCCTCGTACTATTTTGATCATAAATATACTTAGAAACACTATTTTTGTAATATGACATTACATAGATTCTTGCCGGAGATCGATTAGGTGATAGCAACCATGTACATTGATGCTTGCCCTCGTCGATGTTGTGTTAAAATTCCATTATAGGTTGCCTGTTACCGAGTAAATTTCGGAGTAACAAAAATATGTCATATATTGATATTGGTGATGGAACACAACACTTATAGGTAGTATTAGAGTATTTTGTCGCTACAACACAATTCATTACTTGTTCATAAATTGACATAAAAGTTATTAGGGGTGGGCAACGGGACGGGACAGGATACCCATAAATACCCAAAGTTTAAATGACGTTTTACCTAAAGACAATTAGTCAATTACATCCAAAGCATTCATTTCAAAACACAAATGGCTGCACAAGTAGCAACTTACACCAATTCCTACAACCCAAAGAAGGGATGATGATGAAGATGAAAAGGAATCAAGGAAGGGGAAAGGACCAAATAATAAAACCCAGAAAGAGAACAAGTTCTGCTTCCTGGAAAGTGCCATGATTCAGTAATAATAATAATGTTGTTTCTACTCAAATCAATCCTCAGTTTGGCAAAATAGAGTGGGGAAGGTGGTGAATTTTGCAGCAGCAAGCAAGGGTGCTCCCACACTTTCCCACTGCCATTACTTCGCCATTACTTAAGCCCAAGGCGAGCTAGGTTTCGACCTTTCGTCTCTTCTCTCTCGTCCCGCGAAGACGACTCCTCCAGCCAGGGACAAGACATAAGACAGAGACAGACCTTTCCAAATTCCAGAGAAGCTGCCGCCTGCCGTCGCGTGTCTCGCGTCTTCTAGGGCCTAGGGGTGCGTCAGCGTCTCAACTATCACGGGCTGAATTAAATGGATTTTGTAATTTTAATGGATTTTGAATTGGGTTGGGCCTGGGCGCATGGGTACAACGGGTACCCATATTACCCAAACGGGTATTCGCGGGTAACCCGCGGGTACCCATATTAGGACTGTACAATCCCAAGTCCCATCCGTTAAAAATATTACGGGTAATATGGGTACCCATAACCCTTAAAAAACGGGACGGGTACGGGTATACCTAAATACCCGTTTCCCGTTGCCCACCCCTAAAAGTTATTATACTATAAACGAATTCCAATTGCAATAAAGAGCATTTTCAGTCGTGAGTTATATTCAGAACAAGTTTCCAAGTCGATTTAGCGACTAGTTTGTTGATGCCATTTTAGTGAGATACATTGAAAGAGACTTATTTAATAGTGTAAATGACGAATGTTTTTGCATACTTTTCATAATATGAAATCTCTTCATGGTTGTTTATGAAAATAATGATCGTATAGTCGATTATTTTAATCTATGAATGAATTGTATAAATATAATTATTTTTAATACATAATTCTTAATTAAATACATATATATTTATATCTACACAATAAATAAAAGCCAAATCAGAAAACTTGAAGCCCCATTTCAAATTTCCTGCATCCAGAGTGAAAGTAGGAAGGACATTTTGGTCTTTACAATTACTTTTTTTTATTCAGTAAAAAGACACTTACTAGGATTCGAACCATGACCACTTTCAAGAAAAACAAAGATCATAACCAATCACACTAAGTACATTTGTTGTATCTTTTTAAATTAAAAATATATAATTGCATTGAGGAAAAAATCCTTCCCCCATTTCAAATTCCCTGCTCCAGGAGCGTTTGTAGGAATGGTAGAATAGGGAGTGTCAATTTTTTCCTTTTTTCTCTGTGGAACGGGCCAACTTACCGTACACAAGCGGATTTAAACGGATCCGGGAGTGTCAATTTTTTTCTTTAAGTCCTTTTATTTCTCCGTGGTGGTAAAATATATATGAAAAGGCAAAAACAATACTCCTTTTTATTGCTAAAAAGAAAAAAAATTTAACAATAAACTAATGCATGGATTCTAATGGGCTAATCGCTAATCATAAAATAAAAGAGTTGAATGGGTCTGACCTACACGGGATTTGCCCATCAAGTAATACAAATGAACATCATGAGTTTGCCATTCTAAAACAAGCTATTTTCTCTAGCATAATATATATTATGCTATTATTTTACATCTTAGTGGCTAAAATATAATGTATTTTAAAGTTATTCAATGAACCTCCACCAACCCAATTAGTTCAATTTTTATCATTTCAAATATATATTATGTAATAATTTGATATCATAATGATTAAATTATAGTGTATATTATAGGGAATCGTTTGGTATTTGTTAGTAAAAACTAAACAGAAAGATTTATTTGGTTATTTTTAACATTAAAACGATTCTAAATATTTTCAGTTTCCTTTCGAAATTCTACAGCTTTATTCCCGAATCAGTGATTTGAAAATGGCGAATTGCAGTCATCTCTTTTCTTTCATTATTTTTTATTTTCAAATAGAAAGTTTAAAAGAAAAGAATAATTAGAGTTTGGCATTGGTCGGTCAAACATGCTGAATTTCAAGTTTGGCCCGTTTTGATCAAGTCTAATTTTTAATCACATGGTTCCCTAATACTCGATAAAAATCACAATACAAACCAGTTTGGCAGGTGAGTCCATGTTTACCACCATTTTCTAGGGATACAGGAACGTGGTTCCTATCCTAAATCGTGTTGTTCATTCTTGATTTCTTTAGATTTTATCATGGCATGGCAAAAAACCAGAAAGCACAATGATGACAAGATGAAAGTTTTATAAAGCAAATTAATCGGCCAACAGGCCGAGTAAAAGCTAGCAACAATTGTGAGATGCTCATTTCCCGAAAACCGGCGGGATAGGCGATTTTTTATTCGATTTTCCGTAATTCAGTTTCTATAAAACTTACTCCACCTCATCATATTACCAGAAACAATATTGTATCACAAGGTAACAGGTACTTGATTTTGGTTCATAAGGCTGATTTTTGATTCGTTGCATCATTCATGTCTCTTTCCTACTAAAATTCACTATTTTTATTACGTGTTTCCAAAAAAAAACTATACAACAATAAGCTATACACCCCATTACATTATCAAATTTCATACCTCACCTTCCTCTGGCCAAATGGCCGGGGCCACGCTAGTTATGAAAAGAGGACAGAGTGGTTTGAAATACTGCCTTCGGCCCTCCGCCCGACATGAAAATAGTTGGTTACAAGAAGTAACGGATTTGAAATATCAGTATTGATGGATCATAATTGGATCTAAAGTCCATGGGCTGTATGTACGCTTTGACAAGTTTTGGGCCGTTTTCAGTATCGGCCCAAGAAAAGACAATTTCAATCGAAACCAGAACACGAAATGTGGGCACCAAGATGGGAAAAAAGCGGACCAGAAACGGGGAGTGAGGTGGAAACTGGGAAAAGAAAAGAAAGGTCAGTTCAGTGGAGGCGAACTGTTCTGGTCAGTTTTGCCTTCCTTCCCCAGCCAGCCAACCTCCTAACATTTTCGCTTACTTTCTTCTGAATTCTGATACCGGAAAGCGATTACAGAAGAACAACCAATCGGAGCGTTTTCTAGGGTTTCACCACTGTCGCGAATTCCCGCCCCGGGTAATTGATGAAGCCTATACGATTACCGCAGCCGGACAGCCCCACCGCCGTTGGCGTCCCCGAGATCTTCGAAGGCGGCGCGCACAGCGTCGTCAGGCGCGCTGTTGTGATTGGCAACGGGTTCGCCGGTTCGGAGAACCAGAGCCTCGGCTTGGTTCGCGCCCTCGGGCTCTACGACCAGCATGTACTTTATGTGAGTTCCCATGCGTCCTCATCAGTTTATATCATTTGCCTGGACTTGATTGCACTCGAGGATTGTTGTTTCTGCTGGTACGAGTTGCAATTAGACTAGGTTGAATGGATTGTTTCGTTTATGAATTGATTGAGAGCTCTCGATGGTAGTCGTGAGCTTGTTTGACTTGTGCTGAGGATCTGGAGCTGCTCTTGAATTTGAGTGCGATACAGTCGTAGTGATTGCCGTGTGAAGGGGTGTTTGAATTGAGTTCCTCGTGTTTCTCTTGTAGGAAGTGGACGGAATTGGAAGTGAGAAGAAAAGTAGTTCTGATTCTTAATTCTTTGATAGGATGTAGATGGAAGTGATGCTGATTATGCTTTTCGTGTCATTTCCTTTCAATTTCGATCACCTTGACTGATCAACCTAGCTTATTTGAAAGCAGTAGTAATTGGCACTAGGTTGGTAACTATGCCTCTTTGGACGATACATGGTGTGTTTAAGAGCCATTAGGAGGTATTTGGTTTTGGTTCATTGTGGAATTGTTTTTCATCACGATGGAAGTTAATTCTCTAAAACTTATAATGGTGGATGTTGTGCTTCTTTCTCGCAACTGTTTGCAGCGGGTTACAAGACCAAGGGGAGGAATAAATGAGTGGCTGCACTGGCTGCCAGTTTGGCTTCACAAAATTCTATATTATGTCATGACGAAGTTAAGCATCTGCTCTCGAATTACAAGGGCCAATAAACTTTCACCTTTCCCTTCAGAAAATGGCGGTAGTGCTGGATTGGCTTCAATTTTAGAAGCTGATGTGAAGCATATCGTGAATCTGGCACGTGATGCATACGAAAAGTACTTTCTCTTTTAGTCACTTCACTTATTGTTACAGTTCTTGCGCCTAAAGAGGGGATATGTTTTCTATTTTATAATCTCTCAGACTAATCTTGTCTATGCACATACAATTGGAACTTTCAGGGATGGCCCTCTTTTGGTTGTTGCATCTGGAAGAGATACTATTTCTGTGGCAAGCTCTATAAAACGTTTAGCGTCTGAGAAAGTTTTTGTTATTCAGGTTCGTTGCTGATGCCTTAAAGTTGTATTCCACTTCTCCCTTGCCCTTAAATACCGCTCTCTTTTTTCTTGTTAAGATATAATGGTAGTTTGATAAGTCAATTAGACTTCTGGGTGTGTGAAATGACAATCTGAAGTAATGGAATCTATGGATATTTATCAGTTATTTGAATAAAAAGAATTGGTTAATAAATTTGTGTGAAATTGAACTAGTTATTTTGAGTCAGAGTTAGCCATCTTGCTTCTGTCTCATGGAGAGTTTATCCAGAGAAATGACATGTCAAGTATGTTCTGTACGGCTCCCGACTCATAACCCAAATATTCAACACCAGCTTCTAAAACGGTTTTGTAACTCATGGCACAGTGGGGTTATTCTTACAATCAGTAGCACCACCACACTTGATATTTTCTAGAGATGCAGTTCTTAAAGGATCTTTTCTGTTGGTTGTTCATAACCTTCTGACCTTGTTTTCCCTTTTGTGTTCTTGCACAGATTCAACATCCTAGGTCACGTCTTAATAGATTTGACTTGGTGATTACCCCACGTCATGATTATTATGTTCTGACTCCTGAAGGACAGAAGCAGGTCCCAAATTTTATGCTGAGATGGATAACTCCGCAGGAGCCTCCAGATGAGCATGTGGTAAGATATTGTTAGTGGACATCTCCCCTGTGGAGTTGGTTTAGGTTTTGACAGTTGTTGGCTTTTTACTCTTTTCTGTCCAAAAATTATGGCTTACATTATGGACTATAAAATTAGGTACTGACAACAGGAGCTTTGCATCAAATCGATTTTTCCACGCTCCGCAGTGCAGCTAGTGCTTGGCATGATGAACTTGCCCCTCTGCCGAAGCCATTGCTAGTGGTTAATGTTGGAGGACCTGCAAGTAAGTCGATTCCCATTCATTTTCTTTGTGTCTGTTTCTTTTTTATGGGTTTGTGTAGGAGGTGAATACATGAATAGATTTCAATGCGAATATACTTTAGATATAAGCTGTCCTGAATTTGATCTGAAAGATACTATTGCACATAAAAATGATGGGGCTGATCTTCTTCCAAATGAATAGCAGGTAGTCATGAGAGTTTATAGAATCATAGGAACCTATAACTGAAATAAGCTTATGTGCTGGGAGTTTTCGAATTAATAGTGTATATAATTAGTTATTTTGCACTTAGTTGTCGCTCCTACTGATGTCTTGAACATGTTTGTATGCTTCGCTTTGAAATTCTCTCAAGGATATTGTCGCTATGGAGCTGACCTTGCAAAGCAGTTGAGTGACTTTCTTCTTAGTGTTCTTGCTACCTGCGGCAGTGTGAGAATATCCTTTTCGGAGAAAACGCCTCTAAAGGTAAAAGGCCTGCGTATTCAGTAATCATTGTGAATTTGAGCATATATAATGACAAGTCAATAACATGCATTCATTTTTTACTCTCTAACTCACACAGGTGTCTTCTGTAATAGTCAAAGAATTCGCACAGAACCCCAAGGTTTACATCTGGGATGGTGAAGGTATGTTTCGGTAATTTTAAGTTAAAAGCTGATATCAAGTTATCAACCCTGCGACCATCCTATTAATCCTGATTCTTGCTACTACATCAGAGCCAAATCCGTACATGGGACATTTGGCTTGGGCAGATGCATTTGTGGTTACAGCAGATTCAGTCAGCATGGTCAGCGAGGCCTGCACCACTGGGTATGCATGAGAAACGTCTTCTAATCATCAGCGATATTCACATGTTGGTTTCTCAGGATTGGATTTATTGATATAAGATTAACATGTGCAAACTATTCTTGCAGGAAACCTGTCTATGTTATGGGAGCCGAGCGTTGCACATGGAAGTTGTCAGAGTTCCACAAATCCTTGAAAGAGCGAGGCGTGGTTCGACCATTCACTGGCTCTGAGGATGTAAGCAGACAGTCAATTTAATGAACTTGAGAAAATGGTTATTAGATCACCTTGTAGACACCGACAGGGCCAGCCAATCGAATGAACCGGATTCATAATATTTCGTTTGATGGCCCTATTTTCAGTTTGTAGCATTTCTAGCCCCCATATGATCTTGTGTCTCCTAAGCCTTCTCAATCACCTTTTGTTTTTAGTCTCTACAAATTGAAAATCCCCCCATCTTGCATATACTACATTCGTTGAAATACGTCCATGACATGTTTCTTACTTCTGTGCGTGGTTTCAGATCTCGGAAAGCTGGAGCTACCCTCCCCTGAACGACACAGCCGAAGCTGCACGTCGAGTAGTTGAAGCCCTCGCTCAACGTGATCTCACATTGCGCCCGTAGGAAGCTTTTGTCCAAATGCTGTTGTTGTAAGCAAATTCCTGAACTGGGTTTTTGGTGTTCAACATTAGGTCCGTTTCTCCATACCTTCATACACAACACGTAATTGTCGTAACGAGAACCTCATTCATAGACACAGATCAAATTCATTCTTTTGCCCTTGGAAGAGAAAGAGGGAAGGAGGGTTTCAGGCTTTCATGTCGTATGATATTTGTGTGTACAATGATCAAAGACTATTATAGCTCCATGGTAGCTCGGCTTTGTAACTAAGGAAGAGAGGCTTCAAATGTTCAGTGTACTTGAGATCTAATAAGAAAAAAGTGAATAGCTGTGCAGTGCAATTTTTGGCCGGCATATTCCGTCGGCCGGCGGTGCACGTAGCGTTCCTTTTACCTTTGTGCCGCCAACTCAGCAACTATAGGGTTTTAACAGTAATTTTCCCGCGATTTTCCGATTCTGTGTCAGCAACTCTAGTCTCTTTTTCCTCTGCTGCAGCCGTTGTCCAATAACGGCAATCTTTCTTTTGCTGACGTGTCTGCCGGGAATCTTGTAAATTCCTATTCTACCCCTCCCTGTCTTTTCTCTATCTTGTTCTCCGTGACGGAGAAAAGACAGAGAGTGAGATACAGACTGTTCCTCCGTAAATCCCCGAGGAATAGTCCGTATTTAGGTATTTAGGGTACTTACGGAGAGAGAGCCATTGCTCTAGCAGTCAAGGAGATGGTGAGATACGGACTGTTCCTCGGGACTTTTGCCGGCACGTTTGTCTCCGTAGACGAGATAATTACTGCCTTGGGAGGTCATCGGAGGCAAGTATTGCTCTCTACTTCTCCCCAGCTCTCACGGTTGTTCCCGTTTCTGCTTCCTGAAGCGGGAATTTGATTCAGGACTGGGAAATGGAGAGCTCTTTGCTGCAGGATTGGTTGCGGGGCCATCCATACTGATGCGCGCTGCTGTGTTGGCTTCCCGCTGTGGGATCAAGAGCAAGCGGGTTGGCAGAATCTGGAAGCCTCTTACTTGGAAGCACGGCGACATATTTCTAATGTGCCTCTCCTCTTCGCAAATCTTGTAAGTTTACTCATTGGAGTTTCTAAGTTGTTAGCTGAATGAATTCTACTGTTATTTCAAGTTTGATTATGATATATCAGCAATTCCAAGTTTAGATTTTGCATTCTCAACATTTTGTTGCATAGCTAGTTAGTTAAAAGTACATGGCGGTTTATGATATGTGTTTCATCAACTACTACATTATTATTCAATTGAGGGTAGTTTCTCTCTTCATGTGAAGCTCATTGAAGTAGAAGCTGTTAGTGTTGTGGTATATGATCCACGATTGAACCTCTTCCAAAAACTCGAGTTATTGGGAGCAACTGGTTCGTGACATGGTATCAGAGTCTTCTGTGACCGAGAGGTCTTGTATTCGATTCCCAGTGACCCCCATTTGTTAAGCACATAGTATTCTTGTCTTCAGACCTGTGCAAACTTCAAGCCCTTGTGAGTGGTTTTCGTTTGAGGGGGCGTGTTAGTGTTGTGGTATATAATCCACGATTGAACCTCTCATAACAACTCGATATGGTTCAGGTCAGCTTACATATTGAAGCAAGAAAGTCTGCCTCCATATTACAAGTCCTTGTAATATTGGGAGCAACTGATTCTTGACAGAAGCATGATATGGTTCAGGTCAGCTTACATATTGAAGCAAGAAAGTCTGCCTCCATATTACAAGTCCTTTCTTAACAAACATGGAGGTAAGGATGTTGCTATTTTGCAATGAGTCAAAAGCCATTGCGAGCGGCTTGTCTTTCTCAAATTTGGATGTGATAGAGAGACACTACAGTTCCAGACGACTGGATATCAAGTTGGATCCCCAAATGAAAAGGACCTATTTTTTATTTGAGTTTCAATGTCAGCTTTTCTACATGTCATTAATGCAAGATCATGAACACTTCAAAACCTCTCCTGAGGAAAGGCCCCGATAGGAACTCTCTTGTACGACAATGTAGACAAATCTACCGGTTCATGTCGCCGGAATTTGGAAGAACGGCATGGCAACGGCGAGCAAAAAAGGACAGAAACATAAATGAAGCGGTGTCGTGTCGGAGTTGCTCTTGACGTGAAGAATCTAACATGGGCCCGGATCCATGATGGAAGCCTGACAAGCGAGTAGCAAACAAACAGCTCATGTCCTGGCGGCCTGGCCTGCCATTGCCCTATCAAATCCATGGATTAGTTTTCTTGGCCCACAAAGCAACTTGCTTTTTCCATTTTTAATCCTATCGGTAACCTGTTTTTTACTCTCGGGAGTGTTACATTACGAAATTCAGAAGCTAATCATAATTCGGAGAGGCGGGGATCGTGAATTTGACGAGAATTTTACACGACTTATTTTTTATTTGAAAAATAAAGGTTTAAGAACCGTTTTATAGATTGATTTTATAGCTTCAATTGTATTGATTCTCAATCAGTTTCATTTTCCTTATACGCTCGTGATTATTGTTTGGTGTCAAAGAATGTTCTGCTAGAGTATCTATATAAAAAAGCTAGCTTTGGACTAATATCGCATGTCATATAGATGCTACTATAAACATTTGTTATAATACTTCTATTAATTGAATCGAAAACTATCAACTTAATCATTTAAAATTTTACTAACTTGAAAGATAACATATATCAATACAAATTAATACCAACAAATCACCGCCTTCGACACATTAATTCTATTTGTCATTTAATTAAAAGTAATTTTTTTTAAGTTTGAATAGAAAAATAAAAAATTTGTGTCTAGCTTAGGTTTGTTTTGTACTTTTGTTGAAAACATTTTCACTTTCCACTTGGTTACTACTTAGATACAGAAGACAGCAAAAAGTGAACTCGCCACGTGTACGACTGTGGAACTCCCGGCTCCCAGACGTCTGCAAGCGATGGTAGAGTCCACGTCACCACGGCAAAGCCTCCCATTTTTAATTTATTTTATTATTGATCTCTTGTTTGTTGTTTCGTGCCAATTATCTATTCAATTTTTTTTTTAATTCCTTTTTTCCCCTCCTTTTCCGCCAAGTCTTTTTTATTTTATTTTATTTTCTCCTTTTCATGCTTTTTGTATTTTTAATTTCCCCCTTTCCCGTTTTCTTCGTCTTCTTATTCTTCTCATCGTTCTCTCCAGAGAAACCCTAAATTAAAAAAAAACCGAACTCACATTTCCTCTCTCTGTTTCCTATATATATCGCCAATCGGTGAGGCGTTGGCCTTTTTCCACAGATCCCGACGACGAGGACGACGAAGAAGAAGAGCGCTTTTCCCCTTGTCGGTGCTCGTCTTTCAGGTCAGTCTCTTGGCTCGGCCTGAGTCAACTCGGTGGCTTCTTTCTATTTTCGTCGCTGTTCTGTTCTGAGTTTCATCATCTTTGGAATTTTCCGCACCAGTGCCGTGCAATGCTTCGGGTTTCTAGCTCCTCGTTAGGATGTCTGATCAGCTTGTTTGTGTTATATATTGGTAGATTCGATTATGGGGTCTGTTTGGTTTCCGAGAAATTGGTGGGGATGAGAGGCGATACTGAAGAAAGTGGGATTTTTTTGGTTTCCTTTTGTTTCTTGTGAGTGTGGGGTGAGTTTCGGTTAAGTTAGTTAATTGTGGGTTTGTTCTTAAGTAAGCTGGTCGGTTAAAAGGTGAGATTTTTACCTTTCAACCAGTGTTTTTCCCGCTTCCTTTTGGTTGATTACAGTCTTCTTTTCTGTCTGATTAAGTCAATAAACATGATTATCTCTGGGGTTCTTTGGTCTGATTGTGCAATAAATGTTGGAGTTAAATTAGTTTTGGATGGTTTCTGCTGTCGCTTTGTCCATGATGAGCAACCTGTCTCATTTCTCTGGTTCTTTTTTTTTTTACCTTCTGTTCTTCCGTTGATTTTTAGTTCCGGCCTTCCGGGTGTCACTTACGTTATGGTGGTGAATTAAGCATGGCTTGATATTGAAAAAGAATGAATCTTTCCAGAGTTTGGTGTTTCAATAGAGAATGTTTGTTGATTTTCTTGGACTGGGTTCTCTTGGTTGCAGCTTGAACCATTGAAGGGTGTAGTTTGGGATTCAGTACTCAGGGTTTAAATTTAAACTACGTAGAGAAGGTTATAATTGCTTTCCGTTGGACGTTTGGGGTCTCATGAGAATTGTCAGGGGAATGCAGAGATCCTTCGTTTGTGGCGAGGAGCTTAACACACTTTGTTGGAAGAAATCCTTCTGCCAAGGAATAGGGATCACTGCGCCCAAGGCTAGAACACGCGATAAACACATGTCAGCTGGTATCTTTTTATGCCTCTAAGTTTTGTTCATCTGGGAGAGTAGTGAAGACGGTCCCTGAACTTGAATAAGTACTTCAAATAATATAATTTCACAAGCGAGATGACTCGGATTTTGGTCCAGCGAGGCAGTAGTTCTTCTTCTTCTTCAAACCAGAGCAGAGCAGGGTCTTCATCGGCTGCTCGTCCTGAAACCCAGGCTACTGCTACTACCAACCAAGTTCTTCCGGCTGTGAAAGATGAGGAAATAATTGATGAGGTGCAGGAGCAGATTGGTGTAGGTGAAATCTCCCAGGAGCAATGTGGAATTAGTGAAAATAAAGCGGTGAAGAATGACGATCTTCCAGAGTGTGAACATGGTGAGAGAAATAAATGTTTGAGTGACGATGCTGGTGATTGTGGGGGAGCACTCAGTGATGATATTCTAGGGTGTGGAGACACAATAAAAGGAGAAGAGAGGGCAATTGGAAGGTCTGAGGTAGAGGGCGAAAGTTCAAGTAGTGTTCTTTCCCCTGCGATTACTGTACGTAGTCAACCACCTCCTCCACCTGTCCCACCTCCCAAACTGTCAACAGCAAACAATAATACAAGGAGATGCTTATCTGGAAGTCCTGATGCTGTTCGAACTGGATCATCGAGAAGGGCACATGCTTGGCCAGTTGTTTCTGCCAGGAGTTCACCAACTGGGTCTAGGCCATCGTCTCCGAGGTCTCACGTGGAAAATGAGGGGTATAATAGTGCTGATGAGCAAAATCCATGTTTGGCTTCCTCCTACGGTGATTTGGTAAGTTTCTGAGAGCTCTAAAATAGGTAAGTGGGGTAAATCATGTCTGCTTGTGTTTCAGAAATAAGACACTGCATTCTGTGATTCATCCACTTTAGTATTGTAGTTTCAGAAAGTGATTCACGTTACATGTGCTATTGTTGTTGGTAGATCATCAGTGTGTTGATGGCTGTTTTGGTGTACCTTCAGCAGTTCGTATGTCTTATCTTGATCATTAGGTTTGGATTGAAAGCTAGATTTTGATGATGATAAACCATCTTTCCTTTATTTTAAATTTGAGGCAACCATCTAAACCTTTTGGCAATTTGCCAAAAGGTATCATCGTCTTAAAGTGTTAAGTATCTCCTCCGGGAAACAAAAAAACCAATTTTATACAACCCCTCATTGAATCTGTACACTTGGGTGATCTATCTAGGTTGTTCTATCCAAGGTTTACGGTCCATCTTGAACTTCCATGAGTTCGGTCAATCTATTGTTAGCATCTGTCCACTATGGTAGCTCTTATGGCTTCCTGTAGTCATGTTCTTGTATGGTGTTTTTACAACATGATGACATCCCTTAATGATACTGCTTAGCTGCTCCATTTTTATAGTAGATTTACTAGTCGAAAATTGGATATCATTACTGATCCAGGAAAGGGAGCGCCAATTTGAGATCGACATCAGGAGATCTAAAGGATTAGAAGTCAAAAGAATGTTGGAGGATGGAAATTGTCTTTTTCGTGCTGTGGCTGATCAAGTATATGGGGACTCAGAAGCGTATGATTTAGTTAGGCAAATGTGCATTGACTATATGGTAAGCGTATCTCCTTTTTCTGACTTGTCCATCAAATTTATTGTCTATATTGATTGTTTTGTGGAACGTTATTGGTGAGTAACGTTGAGATAAGAGTTAGATAAGTAGACTGTGTTCTTCTGGTGTTGTTTTGGGTGAAATTTCATGCGAATTGGTGGCTGCTAGAGTCATACAAGTCTGTGCCACCTGCTCTGAACCTGGGTATCGTTTTTGGCTATACCCTTATGGTGGTTTTTTATTTTGATGTAGGAACGAGAGAGGGACCACTTTTCTCAATTTATTACAGAAGGGTTTTCCTCATACTGTAAGAGGAAGAGAAGAGACAAGGTACATTCTCTGTTAGTGCTTCTATTCATTAGCAACTTGTAAAGTGCAATTAAATGCAGACTGCATCCCATTAATTTCCTTTGCTTAGTACATAGTCTACTTTTTAATCTTGTTGATAACAGGTTTATGGTAATAACGTGGAGATTCAAGCAATGTCAGAAATGTATAATCGTCCAATCCATATCTATTCGTATAGCACGGGTACATGTCTGCACAAAATGAACTGGTTGATTTTCCAAATTCCTTTCTCTTCAATCGTGTATGCTGATTGTTAACTAAATTTGTAATGCAGAGCCTATCAATATATTTCATGGCAACTACAACACTGACACGCCACCCGTGCGGCTGAGTTATCATCATGGTAACCATTACAACTCTCTTGTTGATCCACGGCGTTTGACTGTTGGTGCTGGACTTGGTTTTGGCTCTCTTCGAGGGGTATGTTCCCTAGTTTCTGTGGTACCTATCCCTTCAAGTGGATTTTTAAAGAGTTACATACCTTCTCACTTTTTGTTAACTTGTTTGATACGGCAGAGAAATGTGGACAAGGATCAAGTCAAAGCTGCTATCAAGGCTCAGCAGGACCAGCAGATTGATAATGTAACAAGTTGATGTAACAAGTTGTTATGGGACTTGATTAGGCTTTTACTCTGACCAATTGCTTTTCCCTGTCTCTAACGTATTATTTACTGGCAGGCACTTGTAGCTGAAGGGCGGTTTTACTCTGATCTTGAGCTTACTGAGAAGGAGATGGAACGTATGGTGATGGAAGCTTCTCGAGCCGAGTATATTGCCAACGACAAGTGGAAACTGCAAGTTGGCCGTAAAGAATCATCATCCTCGGGCGCGGAACCATCGTCCTCTGGAACTTGTAAGTTAACAGAACTCCTGCTCCGAACTGCCATCTCACTCTTCTACTAAAGTTATATACGAATCTGGATAACATCTCGGTTTGGATCTCCTGAAACAGGGTCTGCCGGGAGTGAGACAAAGGCTGAAGGGGCTCGAGCACCCGGTCCCCCTGATGGTGGGGGACTCAGCAGCAGCATGCAAATGGTGCTGTCGATGGGATTCAGCTATCTGCAAGCGATTGAAGCTTACAGCATATTTGGGGATGATGTCGATTCCATGGTCTGTTACCTATTGGAAACTGACAGTAGCAGCAGGCGCAAAGGGAAGGCAACTGAGTGACCCGTCTCTATTTTCCCCACTTCGCCCCTGCCGTTACTTACCACTGCCACCCCCGAGCAATTCAATCAAGCAGGTGGAGAGAATTGGTCGCTAATCTATTCGATGGTTGTATGCTTTACCACGCTATTTACCCTGTAATGCTAGAAACAAAGAGGTGTTTGGTCCATTTTCTCTAGCCGAAGCTTGTCAAAATCTGAAAGATGTTTGCTGAGAATCTAATCAATATAAATTTATGCTCTTAATGTTGAATCGACAATGCAACCTGTTCTTGTGCCATTTGTTCCATGTTCATGGCGCCTTATCTGTAACAAGGTCTCTTCTAGTAAAGTCACATATGTGCTTGGCGGCATCCAAGTGTTGGCCAAAAGCAAAGCAATCTCTAGAAGTGGGTTAATTGCATGGTTGGTCACCGTTCATATTTGGTCACTTGAAATATTTAAATCCATTCGTGGTCACTAAATTAGTAAAATCGTTCAAGTTTGGTCACTTTCCGTTTGTCTCTGTCTGTCTCCGTTAACCAAGAATGTTATGTGCTGAGGTGGCAGACGAAATCGTCTAGTCAGTCTAATTTAACCCAAAAATAATGAAATTCGGCCCGCCATGTCATTTTGTCCATCCCAACCCAGCCCTTGAATCAAATCGACCCACCTACCCATGATCCGACCACTCAAACAAAATAAGGGTTTATCGTTTTTTCCTTTCCAGATCTGAAAACCATCTTCTCTAGTTCTTCATATTTCTTGCATTCCCTTCGACAACTAGGGCTGAATGGTGCTTGAATTGGTCGCCGCAACAATCGCACCACCCAGCTTTTATCTTTCTCGCCTCCTCCTCCTCCTCCTCCGCTCCGTTCCTTCTCCTTCCCTTATCTCGTCAATTCGAATCCCCGCTACACCTCCATGGTTCCCATGCCCAAGCTTTTGTGGCCATGACTTCCGAATTCTCCCTCGCCGCTTCCTCCATGGTTCCCCATCACCGTCTGACTTTGACGACATCGATGATGAGAAAGAGGGATTCCAAGGTCTTTCCATCTCTTGGATTAAGCCGCTTTTGCTACTCTCCACCTCAGTCGCCGATCTAGATCTAGCGAATCCCCTGTTGCCCACCAGCCTAAGATTTCCGATAATCCAATCCAACAAGGAGGCAGAGGGATTAAGAAGATCCCTTCCAACAAAGAGTAGAAGAAGAGGCGGGTGAGAGGCTTTAGCAGGGGGTTGGATGAAGGAAGTCAGGAAGAGGAAGCTTTAGCAGGGGTTGAGAGATGAAGGAAGGGGGAAGCTTGGAAGGTTTTGGTTCTTCTTTTTGTTTCGGTCTCTAAGGAGAAAGAAAGAGATGATTTAGACAGTTGTGGTTAGGGAATGGAATTATGAAGAGATGGGGAAGAAAAAGGAGAAGATCCAGAAGAAGCTCTTGCACCAAAGATGAGATTTTTTTTTGCTCTCCATCAGAGAGGGGTTGAGAGAAGAAGACAGAGAGATGGGAATCCGTGTTGGTTTTTTTATTTTTTTATTTTAAATTATTAATAATAATCTGACATGGCGGGTTGAGTTTTATGACGTGGCAGGTTAAAATGGGGTGAATCAGCATATTTGTTGCTGATGGGCTTGCTGGCCCATCTCCAATACTCCCCCGCAAGCTGTGGCGTGAAGATCATGAACACGCAGCTTGGACAACAGAAAGTGAAAACGTTCAGCACCTAGACCCTTGGTGAACATGTCTGCGAGCTGATGATGCGAGCTAATCTTCATGGGGGCAATGTCACCAGATTGGACGTGTTCCCGAACAAAATAGCAGTCCATCTCAACATGCTTAGTACGCTCATGAAAGACTGGATTAGCTGCAATGTGGAGTGCTGGCTAGTTGTCGCAGTAAAGGGGAATCGGACCTTGCTGCACTACTCCAATCTCTCGCAGCAACCAACGTAACCAAAGGACTTCACTGACTGTGTTGGCCATGACACGATATTCCGCCTTTGCAGACGAGAGAGCAACAACACTTTGTTTCTTGGTGCGCCAAGAGACAAGCACACCACCAAGGGTAATGACATAACCCGTGGTAGAACGTCTGGTGGACTGGCAGCCTCCCCAATCAGCATCACAGTATGCTATAAGATCAAGCGAGCTCTGCGCTGGGAAGAAAAGACCTTGGTCGGGAGCTCCCTTGAGATACCGGAGAATGCGCTGCGCGGCCTCCATATGGGTACGTGTCGGGGAGTGAACAAACTGACTAAGGATGTTGACCCCATACGTGATGTCAGGACGAGTCACCGTCAGATAAAGTAGTCGGCCGACGAGACGGCGATATGCGGCCGGGTCAGGATGAGGATGATCAGTCGGAGCCGGACTGGTAAGGTGATGATTTTGCTCAACTGGGAAGGCACTGGGGCGACTTCCAGTGGCGCCGGAGTCATGAAGGATATCAAGGGCGTACTTCCGCTGGCTAAGGACCATCCCTTCCATAGAACGGGCTACCTCAATGCCCAGAAAGTAGCGTAAAACACCAAGGTCCTTTATGGTAAACCGATCATGGAGAAATCTTTTGACCTGTGAGATAAAATCCCGGCAGTTACCAGTGAGAACAACATCATCAACATAGATGAGAGCAATAACCTGAATACTCCCCCGTCGAAAGATAACCTGAATACTCGAGCCGTTTCAAGAAGATGGCGATGCTTCCTTTCAACTACGCCATTCTGGTGTGGGGTATCGGTGCAGGAGGTCTGCAATAAGATACCCTCTTGTTCGTAGTAATCCCGCAAAGAAATGGTGCCAAACTCCAGATCGTTATCAGTCTGAATCTTCTTAACCTGTTTACCAAACTGGGTGCGAACAAGATTGCAAAACATCTTTAAATACCTGCCCACTTCTGATTTATATTTGAGAAGATAAACCCAAACTCCTCGACTGAAGTCATCAACAATAGTAAAAAAATAATGGGCACCGCTGAGAGACGGTGTGGAGTAGCCACCCCAGATATCCAAGTGTAACATCTCAAAACAGGACGTGGTACGAATACCACTAACAGGAAAAGGTGTTCTAACTTGCTTAGCTCGTGAGCAAGGATGACACACAGTATTGTCCAATGCTAAAGAACCAGAAATGAGACCATCTAGCTTATGCAAAACTGCCGCCGATGGGTGACCCAAACGGGCGTGCCAGAGAGCTGCAGGAAGACCAGTACTCTTAGAAACAGCATGTACTTTTGCCTGTCGACACCCGAACAACCGCAGGAAGTAGAGACCATCACGAACTTCCCCCTTCCCAATCACGTTCCTAGAGCGTAAGTCATGTATAACGCAAAAATCACCCAGAAAGATTAACGCTACACGGTGCTCCTGACATAGTCGGCTAACCGATAACAGGTTGCAACGAAACTCTGGTACATGCAAGACTCGACCAAGAACCATATCCTTACCAAGCTGAATAGAACCTATACGTTTAACGGGAATACTGCTCCCATTTGGGATGCGTACAGGATGCTCAGGCAAACCAGTATCATGCACAGACAACAGGGAACCATCCATTGTTATGTGCTCGTTACAACCGAAGTCAATTAACCACTCTGGTTGATTAGAAAAATTATACGTACCGGCCATGTTGCTAGTTGGATCTGTCGCCCCAGGGCATTGACCGCCAAAGAATTGGCGTAACTGCTCTAGCTGCTGCATGGAGAAACCAGGCACAAGACTTGGTTCAGCTTCGGCCTGTGCAGCTCGCGGTTCGCGGCCCTGGGAGCGACCTGAACTCTGCTTGTTTCGAGGCTCGCGATTGCGGCGTCGGTTGGGCCGATCGGGTTGGTCATCACGTGAGGGCCATCCTATCAGCTCGTAACAACTCTCGCGGAGATGCCCAGTCTTGAGACAGTGCGTGCAGTGAAGTCTTTCAAGATCACCCCGCTCTCCCCTTTCACGATCACGCTGCGAGCGTGCACCATTGGCACCTTTCTCGGAACTCTGCAAGGTGGCAAAAGCTGCGGCCTCAGGTGATGAATTCCTGTTCTGCGTGAGATTCCGCTGCTGCTCATCGTTGTAAACAATTCGAAAAGCTTTGGGCAGCGTCGGCGTGGGTGTCATCGAGAGAATCTGACTGCGCACTGTGCCAAAATAATCATCGAGACCTAATAGAAAATCGAGAAGTCGAAGGCTTTCATTCTGATCCCTTCCTCGTCTGCCACATGTACACAGCGGCGACGACAATATGGTCTGAGTCTCTTCCCAGACCTTCCGCAGTTGAGTGTAAAAACTCGAAACCGACTGCTTCTCTTGCTGGAGAAGGCTGACATGACGTCGGAGTTCGTAGGCCCTCGTCAAGTTCCCTTTGCTGAAGCGATCCCGGAGATCTTCCCAAATCTCCTGAGCTGTTTTGGCGTGCATGACACTACTCCGCAGTTCGGAGTCCATCGCTGTACGAAGCCACCCCTTTACGAGCGCATCGCAGCGGACCCAGGCTCGCTCCTCGGCTGCGCCTGGTGCAGGTCGTGGGATTGACCCAATCCACAAACCCTACTTTGTTCTTGGTGACCAAAGCGTCTGTCATCTCAAGAATCCATTCGTCGTAGTTCGTCGGCGTAAGGAGGCTGCTCACATGAAGGTGGCCAGTGCTGTCCGATTGGTGCAGGAAGAAAGGGCTGGAGGGGTCCGGGTCTGTGCCGCGCGAACCTTCGGACGTCGTGGCCGACTTGCCCGAATTCTTCACAGCCGATTCGTCGTCACTCATGGTTGGAACAGAAAACCCTGATCACGATCACAGCTCTGATACCATAATAAATTTGATAGTGCGGAAGAGAACACAACAACAATTTTACGTGGTTTCCCTGTTCGGTGTGAACAAGACTATTCCACGGTGAGCTCGAAGGAGCTCACGGCTGATTCTTTATTAGGTTTTCTTAATTATGGCCGATGGCCTTACACTGATACTTATACCCATCATCAACTGCTGCTAGGGTATAATTACAAGGGCAATCAAACAATGTGCAAACATGAGACACGGCAGGCTTCGAGTGTGAGTCGCTCCTTCTGTTGTTGTTGCTGATGGGCTTGCTGGCCCATCTCCAATAGTTATAAAATGAAATAGAATACATGCATTTGAAGAGGAGACGGGACCACCAGAATACTTCATAATAGATGATTGTTAATCTCAGTTCTTAGCTGAGATTGTCGATCACTCATTTTTTCTTCTTCCCAATTTTTTGAGTGACCACCAAAATCATTCAACCTCCAAACAATGTATTTTTCAAATTCATACATTGACACAATGCATCAAATTACAATACACAAATTGATTAAATACATCAATTTAGGAAACCACAACCTCCAAACAAAAATGAATTATGGATACTCAAAGCTCACAAAAAAGGTAAGATTATGAATACATCATTTTTTTTATGTATTAGGAATACAACATGTATTGTGAATACATGCTTTCTGTTATTACATCAAGTAAAAAAAACGTTGTATTTTCAGGATACATGTATACTGAGAATACAACATCTGGAATCGGAGATTCCAAAAGATTTATCTTGAGAATATAACATTTGTTAAATATATAAAACATTAACAGACCGTTTATAACAATCGCCTCCACAGTCCACACCATACTCTGCCGTTTCGTATCCTAATTCCTAATCCAACCTCTTCACTTTCATCTTCCTTTCTCATGTCGCAGAACGGGAAACTGATGCCGAATCTGGACCAGCAGAGCACCAAGCTCCTCAATCTAATAGTCCTACAACGAATTGACCCTTTCGTTGAAGAAATCCTCATCACTGCTGCTCACGTCACTTTCTACGAGCTCAACGTCGAGCTTAGCCAGTGGGTCCGTTCTCTCTCTCTCTCTCTCTCGCTCTCTCTGTTCCTTCCCCCGTTCCCGCTGTCTTTCTGCTTTCCACCCTCTGATTTCTTAGCTCTTTGATAGCTTACGTTACTTGTTTCAATGGTTGTGGGTGATGGATATGTTTGCAGAGTCGGAAGGATGTCGAAGGGTCTCTGTTCGTTGTCAAGAGGTGAGTCCGTTGTACACAATTTGATAGTGATACCTGGCTAAACAGAATTGGGATTACTCTTTGATGTCTGCTTATGCTGTGTTTGTTAACGAATTTCCTTTACGTTACCATCGTTTTTGTTGGTTCGGTGGTGGTTCTTGCTTGCAGAAATGCGCAGCCGCGGTTTCAGTTTATTGTGATGAATTGGCGCAATACAGGTTAGTTTTATCATAGGCTCATGCCATCTTCATTCCCTTTCATTGTGTAGATAGAGCAACAGAAGACGCGGTTTAGTGTGGTAAATGATTACTTACCGGGGGTGATTGTGTGTTCATTTCATGTAGAACACTAGATTGCATGCCAATTGCACTATATCAATGGATGACGTTGATATCGATTTTTAAGCAAGGGTTTGCAAAGCCATGGCAATTTGATACTTTGTTGGGTAGCTCTGTGGTTTTTCGAAGTAAGTTGACAATGGGTTATGGGAGGCTCATTTTTGTGATTTTTAAGCAGATAACTTGGTGGAGAATCTCTTTGGGGGATTTTGAGTTTGAGATTCAGGTTCCATTTCTCTTGTATCAAAATGCTTCCCAGGAAGTTAATGGAATTTGGTTCTACAATTCCCAAGAATGCGAAGAGGTTGCTAGTCTGTTTAGAAGGTAGCATGCTACTTGCATTACTCTTTGTCACCTTTGTATTGGCCTTGTAGTTGATCAGTGGAAGTACCGATTCTCCTGTTGTTTCCTGCTCTTCTGATAAATTTTCAGATTTTGCGTGCTTATTCTTTCCATTTTGTACACCCTTTCCATGTAATATCCTGGAACCTGAATGCTTATTGACCATGTATCAAGCTTATGAGACTTGGTAATGCAGTGGATAATAGGGCACGTTTGTCAAGGTAATTGACTCTATGTGCAAGTTACTAACCCCTATATGCCTTTGACCTCTTCAGGATACTAAGTGCATATGCCAAGGTTCCTCCAAGGTCAATGGCTCCTTCATCTAAGAGGTGATAAGTGATAACTGAAATTTTTATCCATAATTAGAGATGTTGTTTCTTTCTGGCAAATCTTCTTGGTATTGTCATGATTGTCTACATAGCATTAGGATGGCATCTCTTTCAATAATCATACATGTTATCTGTGATTGGTAAGATTTGTCCTGAGAAGGATCTTCGAACTTGTCCACTAGGCACTAGCATAACTTGTATTTACTGGACGTGCTAGCTTGGTCAAGTTCCCTGATGGCCTGTTGAACTGTTATCTGCTTTTCAAATATTTCATGTTAGTTAAAGGATTCAAGAATGTCTAATGGGGTCACGTAACTATTTGTAGTGAGTATGAAGAACTGGAAGCAGTACCGACTATGGCAGTTATGGATGGTCCCTTGGAGCCGTCATCTACTGCAGTCTCAGGCGTTGCTGATGTACCTGATGATCCTGTGTTCATCAACTTCTTTAGTGTGAGGAATTATTCTCTACATCTCTTATACTACTCGTGAAATTCTCTAACATTGTTATGTCCTGCTACTTGCAAAAATATGCGAGTTTGGTAATGTCCTTGCTATCTGTCTCTAAATCAACAGTCTTTACTAGGACTAAATTATTTTGCATTTTAATAGTCTAAACAGCTTTAAGTATTGTCTCTTTACGAGATAGTGGAAGTTGCTAAATTGGTTGTCAACCCGCGGGTTGACCCTGACCCGGTCGAGCTAGTGGGTCAAGGGTTAATGGGTCAACCGTTTTAGCCCGGTTTGACCCGGAAATATAGAAAGAGTCATTATATTGTACTTATCCTCATAAATTATATCAAATCTTATCTAACATATGAGTTATAACATATAATATTACACCAAAATAACATATCGTACTTAGAACTAACATATAGTGAAAATTCACACACACTTATATAACATAAATATTCAAATGTTCAACTTAGTATTCCAAAGATTGAGTTAGGCGAAAAGAAAAATTGGAAAATAGGCGCATTTCGCAAACTAAAGAAAAAAATGACACAATTTGACCTCCAACCTGCTACCTAATAGCGGTCGGCCCGGCGGGTGCCTGCGGCCCGTTTTTCTCACCGGATCAGGGTCAAATTGGGTCGACCCGTGGGTCAACCCTAAAACTTTGGTGTTGTATCATCTGTAAGTTCTTCTAAAAAAAAGACTGTATCATCTGTAAGTGCTGAACATGCGGATCGTGCTTGTAAGGTTGTCCTTCTATTTGATAGTTGACTGTAGTGCTTGGGGGGAAAATGCGCGGATTGTTTTGTTCGATGCTCCCTGTTGTTTGCTGGCCTTTGTTTGTCTGATTAAGGTGTACCTAAGGCGTCCATTATCTTAGGGCGTAAACGCAAACATGCGGAAATTAGGTATTTATGGTTATTCTAACGACTCGAATTATTGAGATGAATTGACAATCTTCCTGTTAAATTCATATACATGACGACGACTTGGAGGGTTTCAGAAGCGTTGCGAAGTGGTGTGAACTAGAAGTTGCTATCTGGTAGGAGAATACAGAGCAGCTCTTCGCATGTATTGGAAGGGGAATGTTCGTAAGTCAAGAAACGTAGATAGTTCGTTGGGATGAGTTCATTAGCTTCTTGTTCACCCAATTGTCCCCAATGATACTCGCTTAATGGATCGATTGCCGCAAATACAAAGTGTTGCTTAATGTAGCACTCCGCTGCAGCAGTACAGTTATGTTAGTAGCTTCATTTAGCACTGGACCGATGAAGCAAATTGTTTGTGTTGCTTCATGTAACACTCAGACTGATGAAGCCACATGCTCATATTGTTTCATGTAGCATTCGACGAATGATGCAACATGTCCACTTTGCTAACTGCAAATTTCAGAAATAAAAGCTAATGCGTATATATTCAAGTTCAAGTGAAATGGGATTGCCAAATCGATCCACCACCTATAGATTATCCGAATTGGAGAAATTAATATGTCGTCCACCATAAAAGATGATTTCTTTTTCTTCGCTCCAAAACCCCTTGATTTATGTCCATGAACCTTATAATATGTGGTGCCATCAAATACTGTCTTCTCAATGAATAATTAAAATTAAGTTATTATATTTTACATATTTTTAAATTTTCTATCAGAATCTCAACCATGAATGATGGCTAGTAACTAAAACAAATTTCCAGTAAAAAAAACAAAAAACGAGTTCCATTCTCGGCATTAAATTATCAGTTCATAATATGGGCCAACCGGCAGTGGGCTGCAGAGTAGGCCTCGCCGCCTAGGGCTTAACATGGTCCAATTCCATTTTAATTTATGGCCCGCCGGACGGAAAATGGCAAAATACGCTATTCCCAGAAAATGATCCGAGTATTAGGGCAAGGTGCCAAGTCTCGGGAGAGAGCATCACTGCCACTGAAGCTTTTTTTGGTTATCTGAGTGAAGCAGATTGGTCCTCTGAGCATTCTGAATCCGAAGAGAATTACGTTTCTTGAAGCAAGGTAACAGATTCCTGTTTCTGTACCTGCTACTATTTTTCGTTCGTGCTTTGGAATTGAGCAATTTAGAGTTTTTAGGTTGCGAGTAGGAGGGAAGTGAAAATGTGGACTCATGTCTGCTCATTTAGGAACGAAATTTCGGCAGATCGGCGCATCATTTGCTGGATAGCTGAGTAGATTAGCTTGTCAGGACCGATTTTGCGACATATTTTTAGGGCAATGTGAACTGAAGTGGAATAAGATAGATAAAGATGAAGTTCGAGCCTGTAGTGATAGAAGGAAGCCCAAGGACTGAATGCTCTGATAACGCCTACTGCATTAGCGAGGACAGTGCTGGTGTTTTACCAGAGGAAGAAACCGGAGGTTTGAGAAATGGTAGCGCGACGAATCCTTGCTCTGTGGAATTAGCTGACAGACGAAGTGAGAGTGATGCTAGTGGATGCATGTGGGTACCTGTTGCAGGTACTTCCTACTCCTCGGTTGAAGAAATATTCATGTTATATCAGAACTATGCGGTGGAAAAAGGGTTTGCTGTTAACAAGGATGGAACTACCAAAAATAAGAAAGGGGAGATTGTATATTGTAGATTCTGTTGTCATAGGGCAAGGAAACCTTCGGAGAAATTGAAACCAAAACCAAGCCGTAGAGTGAACTGTGGAGCTAGAATTTATTGCTCAAAGGGAGGAGATGGAAGGTGGAAGATCAGCAAAGTTAATGATCAACATAACCATGACATGGCACCTTCTAGGTCATGGCTTCTTCAGAAACATAGAAACTCGAGTCTTAGGGTCCAAAGTCTTCATCAGCTTGATGATTCTGTTGACGTGCATACTATTGCACAGAAGGGGTATCGAACTATGGGGCAGCCGAATTCTAGGAGGTATGTGGGAGAAGAAAGGAACTTGTGGCTAGAGGGGAATGCTAATGCTATGTCAAACTTGTTCAATAGTATGCAAAAGCAGAGTAAAGAGTTCTTTTACGCTTATGATTTGGACTATGATGGAAGGTTGAGAAGTGTGTTGTGGGTTGATGCTAGAAGTAGAGCTGCTTATGCAGAATTCGGGGACGTGATCACAGTTGACACTACATATTTTACGAACAAGTATCATGTGCCTGTTGTCCCATTTGTTGGCCTGAACCATCATGGTCATTCCATTTTACTTGGTTGTGCTCTTATCAGTGATGGTGATACCGAAACTTTTGAATGGCTCTTTAGAACTTGGTTGGAGTGCATGGAGTCTCCTCCAACTGGCATTGTAACTGATCAATTTCAAAGCATTGGAAAGGCAATCACAAATGTATTCCCTAATGCTAGACATCGCTGGTGCATACAGCATATTCTGGAAAAGCTCCCGGAAAAGTTTGGCTGCCACAGCCGGTATGATGAGTTGTGCGTGGTGATAAAAAATTGTGTATATCAGTCTTTGAGCATAGCAGAGTTTCAGGGATCATGGAAGAACATGGTAAACGAGTTTAAGTTGGAAGACAATGACTGGGTAGAAGAACTGTATCTATCTGCTGAAAAATGGGTTCCAGCTTTTGTGATTGATACTTTTTGGTCTGGATGGCTGTTTTCTCAAAGGAGTGGGAGTAGGATTTCATACTTTGATGAGTCTTTGAACTCAAATACATCCTTGAAGCAGTTCTTAGAGCTCTATCAGGTTGTCTTGAAGGTTAACATCGAGAAAGAGATGGCTGCGGATTATAGCAGTTGTGTGGTACCCATTCAATGTGCTACAAAACTAGCGTTTGAGGAGCAATTTCAAAAGATATACACGAATTCAATTTTCAGATTGGTGCAAGAGCAATTAACAAATACAATATATTGTTTCGAGGAGGTTGCATCAGTTGAGGGGGGTAAGACGACTTATATTGTCGATGATAGGATTCGTGTTGGTTATGGTGGGTTAAAGAATAAGAAGTTCAGAGTCGTACATGATGACGTAAGTGGGGAGGCTTCTTGCAATTGCCGGATGTTTGAGTTCGAGGGAATCTTGTGCGGCCATATTTTTCGGGTTTTGCTGAGAAGCGGCGTTGAAGTTATACGTGACCAGTACATTATGAAGAAGTGGAGAAAAGATATACGCAGGGGTCTTTCAAACATTAGAGTGGGTTATGCAGGGGAAGTTTTCACTCCTGAAATGGAGAGATTCGAGAGGTTGGAGAAGAGATTCAAGGAATTAGCAAATGTTGCTTGTGGAGATGACGAGAAGTATCGATATCTGCTTAATTCGATGCAGGAAATTGAGAAATGCTTTGCTGGGTGGAATGATGGAGCGCTAAAGAGGCAGAGGGTCTAGACCATAACAAAAAGAAGGGGTTTCCAACTGTGGAGATGAAAGCTTTAGTAACACCAGAGAAGAACTAATCAAGCGCTTGCTGGTAACAAAGACAAGTGCTAGTGAAGATTGCAGAATGTGTATGTTTCAATTGGCCCATAACAGGAAATTGTAGAAGATAATGATAGTAATCAAGTTAGAAGACGCTGAGGTTGATGTGCAGGTATGTTTATTTTCAGAACCTTCCAATATGTGTATGGCAGTTAATGTTGGTTTTTTAGTGTAGTTACATACTTAGGGCAACTCCTCGAGTGGTTTCATTTGAGCTCTGCTAGAGCTCTGATCTTCATTAGTCTCATTGAAGTGAGCACTGAATAATGGTGTTCCTTATTTGAATGTCGACTGCATTTTGCTGAAACTCTTTCCTGAGAGCTGCATTCATGAAATAAAACCATAAGCAGCTTCGTTGATGTTTGTTTGTTGCATTCAGCACCAGAGCCATAGGTTATCTGACTGCTATTCGGTTATAATCAGGCATTAATCGTAGTAAATCGAGATACGATATGGTCTAAACAGGTAGCAGCCTGCTTGCTAAACCCGTATAAGATAATAGAGCACCCCCCATATTCAATATTCTTTAATATATGACAATGTAAAGCGTGAAGAACACATACATGATGACTTGGAGCTTTTCTTCGGGACTATTTTATATTAGCCAAACGACCGAAAATAAGGTTGGTGTACAAAACAAGTATATCTACACTTACTACTTGGTCTCTCAGAAAAGTTGAGAAGTGGTGGAAAGAATGTTACAAGTTGCTATCTGGTATGCTATAATGCTTTGTCATATAGCTTGAAAGTATATCTACCTATTTCGATGCATTGATTATCGGCTGTTTTGAATGTCGACACGTCATGTAACATTCTACCTATGCAGCAGGATGGCCACGCTGCTGCCGTGTAACAGTACCTTTCCACGAGTTGCATTGTTGCTTCATATAACACTCTACTGATATTACTGGAATTGTTGCTTCATATAACACTCTACTGATGAAGTAACATCGTCATATTGCTTCATGTAGCACTGAACTGCTGAAGCCGGCATGATCATGCTTCTTCATGTAGCACTGTACGGTCGAAGCAACACGATTATGATGCTTCATATAGCACTCAACGGCTGAAGCGGCCATGGTCATGCTGCTCCATATAGCATTCCACGGCCGAACTGGCATGGTCATGCTGCTTCATGTAACATTCCACCGCTCGTGGAACATGAACCTCTCTGTAGCACCAACTGCAATTTACACAAAAGAGGGCTGGTAAGCAAACACATGCAGTTCACTGAGGGGAATGTTCAGAATCGACTCCCTAATGTGCATAGGACAACATATTATTGCTTTGTATGCTAACATCATTTCAGTGATGATGAGATTGATGATGGTAGCATACCTTGAATGAATGTTAAGATTCAAGTTGGCTAACTTGAGGAGTGATAGCTTAGTTTGATACAAGTTCTGCAGGATGTTAAGATTCAAGTTGGCTAGCTTGAAAAGGGCTTTGATCGCGGCCCTTGAGCTTTCCATTGATGTAAAGAAGTTGCTCGGTGCTAGCTTTGACACTTGGCCAGGATTTGGTGGTGAACTCACTCGCTTCATTTGAGATATTCAAATTCGTATTGATTTATCATATCTTTGTTGTCCTTCTGGTTTGAGTACCTAGTTGAATACATCTGTAAAATTATATAGAACTAATGAGTGAAACAAACCGTGGTAAGAGACTAAGAGTAATAAACATTTTCTTAGGAACATAAGAGAAATTCTCACAATGACAATATACATAAGAAAAAAAATAGATAAATGACATGAACAAATTGAAGCAGTTCAATCTTCATTACCAGTGATCTAGTGCTCCAGTGGAGCAAAAGCTTGGAGATTTCTTCCACTGCAAATTTGCAAGTTAGAGAATGCAGAAATATAGATTAGAGAAAGTGGGAATTATAACATCCATCAGGTTCGAATCCCTCTAGTAGTACATAGGTATCAATCTGACTTGTTAAAGATGGATAGAATAGTGGATGCACTCTGTATTCCTCAATAAACATCGGGAAAATAACAACCTCACTATCTTATACTTTATCAACACATATTTCTCTCAAAATAAAGCATATTTAACATATGATCCTCTACCAATCACTCAATTTACGATCGGAGAACTTCTCTGAAAAATTGAACGAAGAAAAATAGCGAACTGAACGAGTCAAAAGATAGAAAAGATGGGATGAATAAAATGGAATGACGAAGCTTGCTTTTTATAGGCGATGGTGGCAACGTGAATTCAATTTGAGTTGTTGGGAGGGGAGAAAGATTTCTTTAATGCCCCCTCAAACACCTTTTTGTCGTACTCTAAACACAAATTAACCTTCTTAGTTTAAACTCTCAATTTTAATCATGATTACTCACACTACTAAAGCAAGAGGGAGCAGAATGTACATGTGTTAGGGACAAACCTTTCAACTTTATCACGCCAGCCTTATGGCCCTAGGAACATGTACATAGGGTTATGTCCACGGAGTACTAATGTACTATAGTAAGATTATCATATTTACTAGTGTGCTATTAATAATTTGACCGACTATACTAATTACAGTTTAACTTAATTAATAACCTTATAACTTTATGAGTTGTACACAAATTCTATACCTCCATTCAACTACTATTTGCTCATCTCGGTGTGGTAGATAGGAATGAGAATGTGTGTGAGTATTGTGATACTCATAACTGAGTGGATAAGTCAATCTTATTTGGCTGTTACGATCTACGTGACACACCAAAATTTGCAAAAAAATTAGTAACTGCCGCATGTATATATGGCTACTTCGGTGCACTCAATTTTTAGATGCATTCAATACACCCAAAAAATGGGTGCACCGAATACGCCACCGTAGAATATTCATAGGTCGAGACAACATGGTTAGCCATTGTCAGAGGACACAAGTAAATTTTTAAGGAAAAATTATATAACCTTATGTACTTATGTCAAGGATTGAACCCACCACTTTAAGATTGTTAAATAGTGTTCTACTACAAGATCGTCATGGATCCTATCTTTCCCTCTATCCACGGAGATACCTATCATATGGATAGAAATCTATCTATGAATCGATCGTCACTATCTTCTATCCGGATAGATATGTCCCTATGAGCGACTACGCCTTTCTTTATATGTTTTGGCCACGTCCGTTTCCGCTCCGAAGAAGAAGGTTTAAATCTTTCAATCTTATGTCGTGAGGGATATGACCTATGTTAGGTCCATAAGATACTGTTAGAGTAGTCAAAGAGTAAAGGAAATACCACATTGGTGGGAGAAGGAAAGTGCAAGTTGTTTTTAAGTTTGCTTTCCACTTTAGTTATTGGATAAAGTGGTTAGTGGGCTTTTGGAAAAAGTGTGGGCTATTTAGTTTGACATATTAAATCGCACTTCGCACGTTTGCGCGACGCGTTCGGATTTGAATTTTTGGCTAATTAATTACCGGAATTATTTTAATTAATTAATCCGGATAATTATTTGATTTTGACTTTTGTGAAACGACGTAACCCTTCGGAAGGGAACTGCCGTTTTCACTATAAGAAGTCTTCTGCAGCCGATATTCTTGCCAACGTTCATCTTCTTCTCCTCGTTTTTCCTTCTCCAAAAACACAAACACAGAAGTCAGAAAGGTTGCTGCTTTCGGACTTTGGTTGAAGGGACTCCTGGGGGTGGTTTGCCTAATTCCTACCAGCAACGAAGTAGTGGGGGCAAATAACACTCTAAGGAGAGTGATCAAATCACGCTTTCAATCCGTTTCTCCATACTGTTTCCCTGACAATCTTAGAGTGTTATTTTCGTGTGACAATGGATTCTGGAGTGGAGAGCACTTTGAAGGCGTATGCCTCTGATTCCAACAAACTCAATCGGTTTGATGGAACCAATTTTACCCGCTGGCTAGAGAAGATGAAGTTTCTGTTGACTGCTTTGAAGATCGTGTACATACTGGATCCTGATTTGGTGCCGCTAGAAGAACCACAAGACACTGACTCTGATGAATTGAAGGCTGAGCGCAAGAAGAGGAGTGATGACAGCCTGCTGTGCCGAGGATACATCCTCAATCCACTCTCTGGTCGTCTCTACGATCTGTATTCCCAGTTGGCGACCCCTACTGAGATTTGGACGTCTTTGGAGAACCAGTACAAATCAGAGAAACAAGGCGCAGATAAGTTTGTCACATTCCAGTTCTTTGAATTTAGTATGACTGATAAGCGTTCAATTCTGGATCAAGTTCATGAATTCCTAATCTTGGCCTCTAAGTTCACTGCGTTGAAGATAACTCTTCCTGATGCGTTTCTGGTGGGGGCGATTATTGCGAAGTTGCCTCCATCATGGAACAATTATAGGAAGAAATTACTTCGTACGTCAGAGGAGTTCACTTTGGAGCAGATTCAGAAGCACCTTAGGATCGAGGAGGAAACTCGTATCCGTGACAAGGATCTGAATTCGGAGGCACCATCAAGTTCCAAAGTGAATGTTGTGGAGAGCAAGAAGGGGAAGAAGAGAAGTCTTCTGCAGCCGATATTCTTGCCAACGTTCATCTTCTTCTCCTCGTTTTTCCTTCTCCAAAAACACAAACACAGAAGTCAGAAAGGTTGCTGCTTTCGGACTTTGGTTGAAGGGACTCCTGGGGGTGGTTTGCCTAATTCCTACCAGCAACGAAGTAGTGGGGGCAAATAACACTCTAAGGAGAGTGATCAAATCACGCTTTCAATCCGTTTCTCCATACTGTTTCCCTGACAATCTTAGAGTGTTATTTTCGTGTGACAATGGATTCTGGAGTGGAGAGCACTTTGAAGGCGTATGCCTCTGATTCCAACAAACTCAATCGGTTTGATGGAACCAATTTTACCCGCTGGCTAGAGAAGATGAAGTTTCTGTTGACTGCTTTGAAGATCGTGTACATACTGGATCCTGATTTGGTGCCGCTAGAAGAACCACAAGACACTGACTCTGATGAATTGAAGGCTGAGCGCAAGAAGAGGAGTGATGACAGCCTGCTGTGCCGAGGATACATCCTCAATCCACTCTCTGGTCGTCTCTACGATCTGTATTCCCAGTTGGCGACCCCTACTGAGATTTGGACGTCTTTGGAGAACCAGTACAAATCAGAGAAACAAGGCGCAGATAAGTTTGTCACATTCCAGTTCTTTGAATTTAGTATGACTGATAAGCGTTCAATTCTGGATCAAGTTCATGAATTCCTAATCTTGGCCTCTAAGTTCACTGCGTTGAAGATAACTCTTCCTGATGCGTTTCTGGTGGGGGCGATTATTGCGAAGTTGCCTCCATCATGGAACAATTATAGGAAGAAATTACTTCGTACGTCAGAGGAGTTCACTTTGGAGCAGATTCAGAAGCACCTTAGGATCGAGGAGGAAACTCGTATCCGTGACAAGGATCTGAATTCGGAGGCACCATCAAGTTCCAAAGTGAATGTTGTGGAGAGCAAGAAGGGGAAGAAGAGAAAGGCCATGAATAATTCCAACAACCAGACCAACAACCAAAAGAATAAAAAGAAAAAGCCGTCCCCTATGTCCACTAAGAATTGTTTCAATTGTGGGCAATTGGGACATATTGTTCGCTTCTGTCCTAATCCAAAGAAGAACCAGAACGAAGGGGCTGCAAGTGCAAATGTGATTGAGAAAGTTGAGCCTAGTGAGATTGTTGCAATGATTTCTGACTTACATGTGAGTATGATTCAGGAATTGCACATGGCTGGAGTCATGACCAGTGCTGATTGGTGGTATGATTCGGGGGCAACTGCTCACATTTGCAACAAGAGAGCCATGTTCAAGGACTACACAGAGTCAACGGAGGGACACGAGGTTCTGTTGGGTGATCATCGCACGATCAAGGTTCTTGGATCTGGAACCGTGGAGCTTTTCTTCACTTCGGGAAAGAAAGTTGTTCTCACCAATGTCCTTCACGTTCCTGATGTTAGAAAGAACTTGGTTTCTGGTTTCATGCTTTGTAAGAAGGGGGTTGTGATAGAATCTGATAGGGTGATTCTGACCAAGGCTGGTATGTTTGTTGGGAAGGGCTATGTTAGTGATGGTATGTTTAAGCTAAGTATTGACAATGGTAATATTAATAATAAAGTTGATGGTTCTGCTTATATCGATGTGCATGAAAATTATAGTATAGAAAGTAATTCATTTGATTTATGGCATAATCGATTGGGGCATGTTAACTTTAAAACTCAGAAATATATGTCTAGGAATGGTTTAGTAATTTGTGGTGATGACAGTGGAGATAAATGTGAAATCTGTGTGCAAGCTAAGATGAAGAGAAAGCCATTTCCTAAGTTAGTTGACAGAAAATCAGAATTGTTGGAATTAGTACATTCTGATATTTGTGAATTTCATGGTCAATTAACTAGAGGAGGATGTAGGTACTTCATTACTTTCATTGATGATAGTACTCGATTTACCTATGTCTATTTAATGCGAACCAAGGATGAAGCCTTTGATAAGTTTAAGTTGTATAAATCTGTTGTTGAAACTCAAAAGGGTAGGAAAATACAGATCCTTCGAAGTGACAGAGGTGGAGAGTATTTTCCAAATAACTTTAACGAGTTTTGTGAGCAACATGGTATAATACATCAAAGGACTGCTCCTTACACCCCACAACAGAATGGAGTAGCAGAGAGAAAA